GAGAGAGAGAGAGAGAGAGAGAGAGAGAGAGAGAGAGAGAGAGAGAGAGAGAGAGAGAGAGAGTATTGGCAGCATGCGCACTGCACTTCAACTCCCAGCACTTATCTCCTGTTCCGCTGAGCGGCATGTCAAGGAAAATGGAGTTTCTCTAATGGGAGGGCTGCGCATGATGGAACCCACGTTTGCTGTTCCTCAAAGCTCAACGCTGTCATTGAAATGGTGTATGTCACTGGAGCATGAACCACTGAGAAACCTTAAAAACACTTCAGACACAGTGAGTAACATATATACATTAATATTACTTCGTAGGACATTTAAGTGGTTCCTGGTATACCAGTAGACGGATTCATTCCACTGAATAAAGTGGAAACTCTAAAGTCACTCCACATACATACAGTAAGAGAAAGGAAAGTATTAATAAGCATGAGTCATCTATGAGTCATTCTTACTGTATTTGGGACTGTGCCATAGTGAGTGATGGCAGATGAATATGCAGATCATCCAACATACATCAACTTCACATGCATTTAGCCCATAGGGGTGTAGGACAAAGTGTTACTAATAGAAATGAAGGCAACAACTCTGAAAATGAGACCCAAGTGTAAATAAATCTGAATCATCCTTTATGAGTATTTTAAATGAAGTAGATTTAACTTGATAAACAACCGTTTCAGTGTATTACGGTCAAATGAATGAAGTCTCTGCATTGTGTTTGCTGTGACTGCATTTAACCCAACATTGATGAGAAGTCATTAAGGTGCTCAACATCTACCTACATCCATCATTTCCATTACTGGGCGCCTCCATCTGCATAGACAGTTACTCAGAACAGCTACTGAATAGAGCTTGTAGTGCGATTGTGCATCCTTTGAAGAAAAGCATTAATATACTGTATATCGACTGTGATCAGCATTAGTTTGTCACTTACATTGATGGATATTTCAGATTAATGCCATGAAGATTGATGCCAGTGCCCCAGGATGTCTCTGTTCTGACTCAACTCTGTATTTAAAAAGGAGCTTCTCCGCTCCATCCCTGGTAATATACAGCACTTTACATTCGACAGAAAGCTTTTATGAACTGGACAGAGTTTGATGGATGCATTTAAAAGGGTACGCGTGTGTGTGTGTGTAATATATAGCATCTGGGTTATATCCACTTCCAGCAGCGCACACTAATCCAATGTGGCAGGACCCTGTTGGTCAATTAACCTTGACATTACATCTTGTTACGCTTATGAGAGCAACACTCCGTCCGTGCTGTGGCTTGTTTAAGCAAACATAATGTCTGCAGCAGGGAGCATCTCATAACTATCTGCAACAATGAGAGCTGATGATAATGAAAACTGTCCCCAGAAAGGGCCGGTCTATCTCTTTGTGATTTGGTTAAATTATTTCTATTCTGTCTAGTCTGCTCCATTATTCAGATTATCATGAGAACATGTAGACGCAGCGACACAATGCATCCTGAGTTGAAGTGACGCCACATTAAGAGTGCAGGAGGTGGATTTACAACAGCAGACGACAGCAGAGAGGAGAGCAATGATTGTAATTTCGAGGCACAAAGAAAGGTAGAGCAGTTTTAATGCGCTGCACAAAGAAGAGTGCGACAGCTCTATATCATATATCATCGTGCTTACAAAAGCTCCACTCATAACACATACGTGACCCTCGAATGCTGACAAAATCTCAGAGAAGATGGAGGATCTGTTCCCCATCTGTCGACTGAGGGAAGCTGGTGCTGGTTGAGACTGATCTGGCGTGGGTTCGACCAGCACCCAAAGGCTTCTCATGGTGGGCAAACTTTCTGCAGAGCGAGGGCAGAGAGCGGGAGACAGTTGGCTTGTCGCTGCCACAGCAGCAGGCGGGCGGAGATGAAAGGCTCTGCTGATCCACCACTGTAATCCCCCCTTCACTAACTCGCTGCCTGTTGACTGTGAGCAGCCACAAAAGTCAAGTTTCTGATGCATCTCTTCCTATTTTTCTTTCAGCTCTTTGTTTTTCTTTGTCTCAAGTTACACCACAAAGTATTTTAGTCATGTAGTCTAATATTACTATATTATTAGCTGCAACCAGCAGCTGTACGACACTCGTACAAAAGAAAGATCAGTCCCAGAGTGCTCAAGAAACAGCTTTGTTGTATAAAGACAACTTAAACTTAAGTTAAATGTTGCCTGGATTTTGTCAAATCAAAAAATAATTAAAATAAAATGTATTAATTATGGCGGATTGCTCCACTAGAGGGAAAATATATCTTTTAATTAAACCTTTTTGCAGCTTTAAAAATGTTTGTGAGTGCCTTTGACTGCCTAAAAGCAGAAAGACGCTGATTTTAATAAAAGAAGAGATATATTTCCCTGAAATGTCAATCGCTTGTCTGTGTTATTTGAAATAACGGCCGGTGGAGCCAACAGTCATGGATCAAACAGCTTCTGTGCTCAGAGGTTAATTGTTATCGGGAAGTAAAGCCTTGGGTGTTTAAATAACGTACGGAGAAATTCAATACACTGGTTTCCTTTGAGGCAACCTCTCGGCTCTAAAGTCACAATATGGTTTAGTGTGATTACAAAGTCAGACCTCAGTGTGTGTGTGTGTGTGTGTGTGTCGGGGAGTGTGTGCTCATGTTTCTGTGGACGTGGAGGGATCATTCACAAATTAATTAGACGGCTTCGTTTTTGTTTCAGGAGCTACTCTTCACACACTTGGTGCAAAACAATCAGTTTAATTACCATTCATTGCCTCTGATTTCCATCGCAGTAGTGGGTGTTTTGCTCTACTTCTTCAAATGATATTTAATTCAGTTTGTATATCCAGCCAAAAAAAGTTGCTTGGGCTTTTCTTATGTGAGGATTTGGTGCTGTCCTTGGCTTTTACATCTTTGTAAATAGAATATCTCTGGGTTTTGTACAAAACAAGAAGCAATTTCAAGACGTCACACAAGCTCTAAGAACTCGTAATATACATTTTATACACTAGCTATTGACAGACTAATGGAGAAATGCTCAATAAAATATTAAGAATTGTTTTTTTTGCACAGTACAGGAGCGGATGGATATAGTAAACGACGTTATGGAAAAGATTACTCTTTTTCTCTGTCTCTGGTTCATGAAATTCTAGACCAAGTAGGTCAAATATGATGTTGTGGAGGTATTAAATAAATGACCCTGTCATGTTTAGGAAACCTTATTGACTTTTATTCTTAAGTGTCCCTCCTGAAGAGAGCCAGAGGAAATAAAACTGCCTTTTTTCCTGATGTATGTTTTATAATAAAACTATAAACTATAAACTGCTGTCCCAAAATACATTTAAAAAAAAGTTAGCTCCACCATAACCGAACTACCTCGTAATCAATATTTACCAAACTGGAATGCAGATTAGGTGAGATAACCGGATGAAATATGCATGCAAACATATTTTTGTGGCTTTTCCTTGAAAAATTGAAATTGGAAAAAAAGCGAGCACGGTAAATGTAAGACTGCGATAAAGCCTTCTGCTCTTTTTGGAGGCTTGAGCCATCAGCCAGCAGCTGTGGCTGAGGTGAAATCCCCGGCTCAGAGATATGTCCTGCAGATCCTGATGGACAGAAAAATTCTACAACAAGTTTGGCCAGTCTGACAGCCCCATGCGACCAGCCTCAAAGCCCGCGGGGGCTTAAACCAGGTTATAAGCCCCAAAAGGAAACCTTCTGCAGCAGCAATAGCTGAGCATGCAGCATCTTCTTCTCACACATTTCTTGTTGAATCTGCCGCCGGACCGACTCTCCAGACAGTATCGATATTCTGCGGAGTAAACCAGACCCGGGGCGTTCATCATCAGCTTCATCATCAGCACCGGGGAGCAAACAGTGCTTTTGTTTGAGGGGATGAGGTGAGAAAATAGTAATTTAAAACTCTGTCTGTTCTCAGAAAACTTTTCTGCCCGGGGTAAACAAAAGAAGCACACATTTATTTTTATTCTCTAGATAACAATGCCAACATGTAGAAGAAGTAATTACTCATGTCCTTTACTTTTAAAGATGATGTGAAACAGTTGTCAGGTTTGGGCCGGATGTAGTAGAAATAAAGCTTCCTCTGTGGACAAATGCACATTTGAGGAGGTTTTTGGTTGGAATGTTTGGTGATAAAAAGAGGGATGATGTGTTTTTATTTTGTGGAATAGAAGACACAGTTTTGACTGAAAGCACAAGTAAGATAGAAAACCTGAACTGAACAGCAAATAATAAATCCAGTTATGCATAATTTAGCAATTTATCATGTCTTATTGTTGCCAGATGTTTATTCTCCACTTCAAGTAATTCATTAAGACAATTCCATGGAAACCGTTCAGTGCATTAACTACTTGAATTTGCTGTTGACTCGAGCAACGAAATGAAAGATGTGGTGAATCATTTGTTCACCTGATTCGTTGAAAGTCTTATCAGAGCTGAAGGAACACTGACGGTTTCTTGTGCGTCATCGGCAAAAGTTCACACACATCCGATCATTTTTTGAGTCATGGTTCCACTGAATGGGTTGAGTGGTTTCGAATCAGAGGGAGTGCAATTACAGACACATCACATGTTGTTGCACGGCGACTGAAAAACAGCGTTTATGAAAAGGTGTGAAGCCTGAAAACTATTTTTTTTTATACTTTCTGAAAAGATATTTTTGAAATATTCAATGCAATCATGTCTTTCTGTTTGAGATCAATGTGCTTGAGTTCTTAGACGTTTCTCTTTCTGGGTGGTTAACCATGCCTGTAACCTTAGAGCCTATCAGCTGGAGTTCTTCCAATACCGATACACAGGAACCACAGCATGTGTCACTCACGACACGTTCCGTACACCCAATCACTCCTGCACATGCGCAACTTTCAACAGCGATGAGAAAGAAGCAAGATGGCTCGCTCGTTGCATCTGCATCCAAAAATCGATGATGGAAGGAGCTAAAGGTTGAGCCATCTTGCTTCTTTCTCCTCCCTGTAGGGAGTTGCACATGTGAAATAACGATCGGGCAGGTGCTAGCAGAGAGTGTAACGTTAGCCAGAGCGAGCTAAATGTTAGCAATTTGGCAATGTTTTACAGTTAAAACGGTCAAACTAGATAATAAGACATATGGCATTCATTCTTTATATGTTGTTTTTATTGCGCTGATACTCTGTGTCGTATTGGGAAGGAGAAATGAGAACATCTCTACTTTCAGCCTATTGGTTTATACATTACATGTCAAGTATTACACTTGATTAGCTTATTTCAAATCAGACACTTCCTTAATTATCACAGCATCCATCTTAATAAATGCACGATAATCAACACAACCTGGTTGTTGCATAAAACTCCACTGTTTGCAGCGGCTCAAACGCATCATGTATTGAAAGTTGTCCAGGACTGCAACTAACGATTATTTTACAGACCTGTTTCATAGATGAAAAATAGATAATGGATCGCCAGAATTCTTTTAATCTTTTGCCTCTCAGGGCTTCCCTAGAGAGAAAAAAAAGGCAGATATTTAATTTTGAAAGACTGGAGCAAAGAATATTTTTGTCATTTTTGCTTAAAAACAAATAACTAAAATAATTAGTTGATGATAAAAGTAGTTGCTCTTCTTGTTTCAGCTCTAGAATTGTCCCACAGAGAAAGTAGTGTAAACACACTCACATGGGATTTTGTTCAGCTCATTCATGAACTTGTCCTTCAGCTTGGAGAAGGCCTCGTCCTTCTCGCCGGTGCCCGGGCCGGCCATGTTGGTGGTGTTGGAGCCGGCCGTGGAGGAGGAGGCGGTGGTGGGCTCGGGCTCGGGCGCCGCCAGCGCTTCCCTTCGACTCTCACTCATTGTGCCGATGCTGGGCAGCCAGGCAGATGCTGAACAAATGGAGAAAGAGAAAGACACAACAGAGTGGGTTAGATTATTGTTCCCCCCCCCTCCTCGCTGTGACAGATGCATGTCAGAGGCAGTGTGCTCGCCTTGTCAGTTGACTGAGTTGACGCAGACCGTGTGAGCAGCTGCTGGCTCAGCCTGGGTAAACATCAGCTGTGGTCCAGAATGAATTGGCCAGCACGCTGAATTCAGAACAAAGCTACTCACTCATTGCTTAAACTCCAGATTAGCATCACAGAGCAGAGATAAAATGATTATTTATTACTCTCATACAACACAGGCAGCAAATCTCAGCACTGCTACTGGCTTAATTTAAATTCTGGGCTGTTAGAAGTCAAGCGAAACAAGTACAGTAAATAATGTCGCGCTGCACAGACCCACTATCTTATCACACCGAGCTCTTTGTACACAACAGGTGTATTTACTTAGCATTCAGGTCTTTTGTGAAGGGAGGAAGAAGGAAACAATGTGTCGCTTATGTTAACCAGAGTGTGTGTGTGTGTGTGTGTGTGTGTGTGTGTGTGTGTGTGTGTGTGTGTGTGTGTGGATCCAGTCATGTGTCCATGCATGTGCAATGCTTTAATGTACAGTATATAGCAGCATGTTGGTCATCATTTCACTGCGGGAGGTCGGTGGAAATCAAGCTTTCTTTTGAAAGTATTGTCATGTCTAGAAACTTCCAAGAGTTCACGCTGACATCTTCTAGTGTCTTGATTTGTCTGACCAGCGGTCCAAAACCGAGGGAGATTTCATTTTCTGTCATATGTGACAAAAAAAGGCAGCAAAACTTCACATTTGAGAAGCTGGAACCAGTAAATGTTTTGTATTTTTGATTGAAAAGATGATTAAAAGGCTAAAATAAATCAGCAAAATAGTTCATTTTTTGTTTGTTTCAGCTTTGTAAGCAAACGAGTAAAGCAAACTGTGAAAGTATTTGTATTACCGATGCCTTTCATGCTTACAATATATATATATCATTACAATATGTAACTTCTATGAAAACAGGAAAACAGGCATCTTTCTTTGTTTTTCCAGTGTTGTGTACTTAGTATCGTGATACACAACCGTTGATAAAAGCTGCATCATTGTGACATATCTACTGCAACCAGGAACTATATACTGTCCACTCCTTCTGTGCAGGTTGTAATTTGGCTCTGTCACCATAGCAATCAAAGAGGATAATGGCACACTAAAGCTGTAGAGTGCTTCCACCAGTACACAGTGGAGGTTGACGGCCTAATTCTCCTACTTTGCCACAGTACAGTGCTCATGAAACTCGCATTTTCCAATTATAGTATTGTTTCACGAGGGGCATTTCACTGCTGCCAACACAAACTCTTTTAAAAGGGTTCTATGCAATTGAAAATCTCAATCTGTGATATCTGTTTCTAAACCTCAGAGAGCTCAGCTCAGAATGTGGTGGCAAAATCATTCTTATATTATCTTAAAAGAAAGCTTCAAAGAGCTGAAATCCAATTCATGTTTCTTTGAATGTATAAAATGAGGTTTCCAGAAGCGGCGAGGCACTTTCGACTGAATTACAGCAGAGCTACGAAGTGTCTTCTCCATGTGTGCTCCTCAGACACAGTTTCAGTCTCCTGAATTCATCAAGACAAAGCAGATGTAGTGCTGATAGATTCACAATCATTTAAAAATGAAGAAACATACTCTGAGCTAATGTTGCCACTGTGTCGCTTCCATCTCCCAAATCAGACATTTCCTATCGCCCTCTGATCTAGAAAGAGTCATTCATGCACCTTTATCTCCCTCTACCTCGGTATTTATATCCGTCTTTGTGAAGCAGAGTCACGTAGTAGCATATTCCTTTGTTTACTTAGCTCTGACTGTAGTTGATGTGGGGAGGGAAGATCGTTTCTCATTCTCCGTACTCCTCCTGATTTCCCAGCCGATCGGGGACTTCAGTCTGGCAACCAGCCACAACCCTGTTTTTGCATAATCTAGGTTATCTCTGCTACTGTTGGAGCTGGTGCCAGCAACAGACGCAGTCAGTGTGGTTCTTTATAAACAAAGTGCACGCATCTGTGCAAAATCAATTGGCCATCGCCAACATGAAAGATTGTTCTTGAGAAACTTTGAGGGAAATGATTTGCATTTATTAAAGCTGTTGCCTGGAGAAAAGGCCCGATATAAAGGAATTATTCCCACTTATTGGGGCAAAAGTGGGTAAATATTTTACCTGGTAGTTTGAAGACAACAAGTGCAAAAAGCTGTCAAAATATCTAGAATATCTTTATCTGTGCATCACAAGTCGATGATGTCATCTGATGCTACATTGACATCAAACTGAACACACAGTCGACATGGACTATAAACTGGGAAAGTGGTATAAACAGATTTTAGAGGTTTTTTTTTGGGATGTGCATTAGCAAGCGTATAGCAACATGACATGAATGACACTAATGGACACTAATGCACACTGCCATTTCCTCTGTCAGTAGATCATGCATATCTATCAAAGAGCAGAAAGACGTCAGTGCTGCAAATGTCACACAACAACCTCCCAGTCAGCACCACGGACACATCAAACCAACATACTGCTTTAACAGTAATTAATGACCAGCAATGACGTCAATGTAGTTATAGTTGTGTGTGTGTGTGTGTGTGTGTGTGTGTGTGTGTGTGTGTATACATATGGAGAACAATGTTCTGCAAGTATAATTATCAGCAGTACGAGGTGAACTATTTCCAGGAAAGGACTTAAATCAAAGTCTTTGTGTGAACAGGTCTGAATCCCAACACAGACATTACATTACATGTACGGCCATTACATGGTGTACAACAGAAATCACTCAGGGAGACGCATACGGAGCAAAGAATACACAACATCAAAGAACTAGAGGCAATACCATTATTCCAATACAAACACCGGCTGGAGAGGAAGCAGGAGGAGGCTAATCGTGGCCTAATCCCTAAACACATTTAGTGAAGCAACAATCCAGACCAGCCTCCAAAGATGAGGTAGTGTTTGAATGTTGATTAAGAATTTGAATGTCAACTTTATGAATGAATTGAATTGTATTGCATGAATTGTATTTGTAGGTTCCGGAGATACAACACACAAGGACGGTTAGAGGGGAAGGAGAAAGGCAGCTGTTGCCAAGAGAAACAAATGAGTGTGACATAAAACACATGTGGTCGTGTGATCGGTGACGTAGTAACACTGTAAATCATTTGCTCTGTTTATAACTTGGTAACAGTCGCTAGGTAGCAAAGCTAATATGAATCACTGGTTGCTGATGAAAGTTCATTGTTTTGTGTACTTACACAACTGACATGATAAGGAGGTAATAGGCTAACAACCAATACTCGCTCCCTCTAAAGGGCTAGTTTGAGGCTTTGCCTTGAAGATCCTTCCACTTGCACACGGAGATATTGTGGTTGTAATCTTAATTACCAAGATATGTAATTAGCACCAAAATGTTCCCTCAAGCTGAACATGATAACTTCTTTGCACCATTTGTCCTATTTCATCCCCTCTGATGTTCATTCCAAACCACACAGACGCATTAATAAAGCAGAGGATGCATGACCTCGTTTAAGTACCCTACATGTAAGTAATGGCTGATAATTGGCATTCATCTCCTTATTCAGTTTTCATTTGCTTGAATTTTCAATTGTTTGAATTGTGTACATGTGGTGCCACCCAAGTTTTCTTTTATATGTATCATATGGATTGTATTTTTACCACGGGGATAATTGTAAATATGATGCTTAACTAACCATAACTGAACCAACAGTTTGAATCCCTTGTGGTGACACCGAACTCTGCAGAACAAAAGCGATTCTGACCGAGTTGTTAGCATGAGACGGGTATTCACAATCACTTCACGTTTACCAGCTGCTGCTTCTCTGCATACTGCAAAAGCATGATATCCCTGCTCCTTCCAGCTGTGACTTTAACACTTAGCTAACACTTCTTTAACATCATCTTTGTCTGTCAGCATTGTCAAGACGTGTCGTGTGGTTAGCTGCTGCTGCTGCAAAAATACTTCCAAGGAGAGACAAAAAAAATGCAGTAACTAGTTTAAAAAAAACTAGATTCTGAGCAGGAATAATTAATTAATGTGAATTTAATTTAATGTCGAGGGTTTCAAGGAACCGTCTGCTACTGTTGACAAAGCAGCCATTGGTGAACTCGGCCCTCTCAACCCCTGTGTTGCGTGGACACCTACGCATGTCCATGTTCACTCAGCCCCCCCTTGGTCTCCCTTTGAAATGCTACAAGGTTAGTGTGGGGGCTGAGCCATTGAGAGGCAGTGACAGAGATACTTCAACACAGGCGAGGACTTTTAGGGAGCACAATGACGCTCTGCAGAGTGCATGTGGGAGGCTTCCTCTATAGAAAAAGAGTTGATCACGCTGTGACGAGAGGGGGGTTCACGTAGGCTTTCACTCAATATTTCCAAGCGAGCGTCTGGTTTAAGTTAAGGGACAAAAATGCAAACATGATGGTTTCCAATGTTTGTACAAGGATGTGTAATACACAAGGAGCTACATTCCGAAAAGACAATAATTGCCCTGAAGAATTCAGCAGGCAGTGGATGCTAATGACACCATTCCAGTGAATTAGAGCCCTTTCAGACTGAGACATGCGTCTGAATGAAATAATAAATGAAATCGTTTTCCTGAGGATTGTGCGAGGCTGATGCGTCTCAATCTCCGAATCGAAATGTCAAACGGGAGACTGCCAACATGTGAGCAGTATGTGTGAGGAGGACCGCCCGTGGTGCGTGTTATGCCTCTCTCTTGACGGGCCTCACATCACTGGCAAAAATGAAACATTAATTCAGCTCAATATTTGCACCTAATGAGTACTTGGCCCCTTCAAGGATAAGAGAACAACCTCCGTCTGACCTGCGTTGTCTGCAGTACCTCACAGCAGGCGGCCCACTCGAAGAGCAAGTGGATCTGGCTTCATTTATCTTTATGGAAAACCTGAGAGCCCCGTTGACCTTTTTTCCTT